TTTTCTTGATAACTTGAGTAGATTTCTTAAGCTTGTAGAAGTGTGATTTCTGAACAGCTTTCATTCCGAATCTATTTTCAAAGCTTTCGATTTACTTATTTATTTATTTGTGCTCTTGCAACCATATAGAATGACAGGAACTTGCAAAATGATGAAAAACTAGTGATAACGGAACGATAAGGCGCAGCGTTAAGCAACGGTGTTGCCGTATTAAGTGTCATTACTCACTCTTTCTTGACCAAATAATTCCTTGAAAAAATTTGCGCTAAGAAAAATCAGGAAATTAGAATACGACTCATTCTTCTAATTTTCTGCAAATCCTAATTTCACCTAAAATTTTAGTTTCTGAATTGTCTAGCACATAATGATCTCATTTTTTCAGCATGTCATTTCCAATATTTCGTAAAACCTCAATGGGTATGAGCATGGACAGCGGAAACACGTCTTTTCTACATTTTGGTGACATCATCTCATTTTATACCGAAGAAAATTCGGATCTACGCGGATTTCTCAGCACATTAGGGTGAGTAATGATGGGCTTCACTGGATTTGAATTAGAACAAACCAATTTTTTGTCTCTAGCCTAGTCGATGACAGATGTATAGTAGAATTACAAGATGGTCGACCGGAGAGTCCGCCAAAGAAATTTAGAGGTTTGTTATTTAGTAAACTCTCATCTATTACTTGGTGTTGAATATTTGTCTTCAAGCGTAAATGCTTAGGGAATTCATTTTTGACCCAACGATCGCCTCATCCTGTCTTTTTTGCGTTTTTTTGATTTCTTTTTCTTTCACATTTTTCTTAGTCTCACGTGTATGCATAAAATCTAGATTTTGTTGGCAATTTTTCACATGATGCGGCGATTCTAGCTTTGAATATGCTTATCACCGAAATAAATACTTCCAAACATGGGAACGTCCCACCTATAGTGACGTTTTCAAATTGTATCTTTCAAAAATCCCAAGAGTCCTCAATTTGATTATCCCGAATCTTTTTTTAAAGGGAATGAGAGGCCTTTTCAATCCATATGCATTTTTTTCATCAGAAT